AATATATATATATATTATTTTGAAAACAAATGACGTGCGTGCTGTTCATTTATCGTTTAGTTTATCCCTAAAAAGGCACAGACGCCTACTGTAGAAGAATCCTAAGCCCAACAACAACATAGTATATATATTTATACTATTAAGAAGTATAAGTAAAAGCCTTTTATTTTGACAATTGGTGACTATACTGTAACTACAAATTCTGACAGAATACTAGCAGGTCCCGGTGGTAATTCTTAAATAGAATGCACAACAATAACAATAAACACTATTCTACAGTAATCACTTCGATATATTAGAGTTTGTAACAACAAGTATTTACTTATAAAGGATAAATGAATTGCAATAAATACTTGATTCTGTTAAATGATTAAGTAAGATTTAAAAAAGGAATTATCATAATTCGCTAGAGGAACTTCTAAACCAAAAAGACTGAGACTAACAAACACTTTTGGGAATTTGTCAAATATGAAATGCCTAACCAAATACCGCATACTAAATTAACGTTTTGTCCTAATTTGCGCTCGTTAGACCAAAACTCTTATAACCTTGTTAATTGATTGCTAAAAATATAGCATCATTTATGACCAAATAAAGCTTGATTATCGCATAAAACGATATCGCGAATATATCAAAAATAAACATAAGTGTACCAAATTTCACAAACACTAATATTTACCGTTCATAAAAGTTAAACTTATTCAAGATTTAGTTCCTCAATAACACTAACATTTCTAGCTTTCAAACATATTTCAAACAAATACGAGAAAGACCTGTGAGTAACACTTTCAAAATGTCTTACGTACTTTCCCTTATCGGGGGGGACACAGCTCCTTTTAGGGCCCTGGAAGACTCGTTTGATAGAATTACAACTTCTCTTGGAGGAGTGTGAGGACTGAGTGGCCCTCCACCGACAGGAACAAAGCTGCTGGAAACCCCATGTTTGATTTTCCCGGGGTGAGACAAATGTGGGGAGTTAAGAGTAGGAGGGTTTCCAGTTCCTGGTGGACAATGTTTTCAGTTAGACGAATTTTTATAACTAAATACCTATTTTAAAACGAAATAGAATATTCTCCAGTATCCATAAAAATCTATTCAGAAGTATCGTTTAATGAAAACTCTTATAAGTCACTTCACTGCCATTACTAGTTTTCAGAGATATTATCTAATGAAAGCAAAATTTAGACCATATACAGAACAGACTGGAAAGTCATCTGTGTAAAACAATGTTTTACTTATAGTTTTGAATATTAGAGTGATATGAAAAAATAGCACGTTCTTTAAGAACAATATAAAATGTGTACATTATATTTGGTGATATCGGTGTGCATAAAGAATCAACAGTAACTTACGAACAATGTGAATTCTGCTCAGATCTGTTTCACTTCCCCATGTAGAATGGCTGGAGAGGTCTGCAGAATTGTGGCAGTAGTAACCACTAGCTTCAGCCACCTTGTTCATGTCGCCATCGTTTGCAGATATCCGGCGGAGACGCTTGTTACGTGGCTCCATGGATGGACTAGGAGGCTGATGGGGAGGAGGAGGTCCAGACAATCCTTCCTCTGGTGGATGATTCCCTAGAGGAGGACCCATTCCTCTGTAGTCTACTATGGAAGAATAACTATTGTAGTAGTAGGAGGGGGACTCCATTTTAATCATATTTATAGGCGGTTGACTTCCATTAGTAGGTTGTAAAATGGAGCCTTTAAAGAATAAAATGAGAATAATGTAGTCAGATGTTTAGAACATTCGCTTTCCATAACTCTTATCAATACAAATACTTAAATGTGCAATTGATGAATAATATCTACCAGGGAGAAACAGGCTTATTAATTGCAATTCGATAGCTTAAACTTAAAACAGATTCATCTAGAAACGGTTACAGATAGCAGTCAAACGGTTATTATAAAAAGAAAAGAAAATCAAAGTGCAATAAACAAGCTTGGTTTCTTTTTTTATATTCTCAACCAATAAAAAACTACGAAACAAGGTAACAACATAAATCGAATTAACGCTTGCAACACATAAGACAGGTTTACCCTTAAAGCTACCAAAACAAGTCAGGTTACTACCTAAAGACAATTCCAAAAATCACGTCAACCAAAGTTCAGTTACACTTGAAGCAACCAAGGAAATCAATGTTAACATCTGCAACAACTAGAAAAAAATACATTTTGTACACCTGAAGTAACTGACAAATATTTGAGGCAAATAACAAGAACGAGATTAACACTTGAAGCAAATGAGAACAATCATGTTAAGAAGTAAAATGAATGTCAAATATAAGGCTAACTTTTAAAGTAAATACCTAAAGTCATCTACACTTAAAACACTTAAAGCAAGTATAAAAAGTTACGTTAGCACTTGTAGCAACTAACAAAATCTAACCATTAATGCAACTAACATTAAACATCTTAACATTTCAAGCAATCAAGGTCATGTTAACATATAAAACAGAAAACAATGTTCAAGTTAACAATTACAGCACATATCAAACTATAATGACATTTAGAACATCTAAAAAATCAAGTTTACCACCTAAAGCAAATAGAAAAGTCACATTAGCATTTCTAACAACTAAATAAGTCCCTCTAGCATTTGAGACACATAACGTGAACCAGATTAACACTTAAAGCAACTAACAAACATTATATTAATACTAAAGCAAATGTCGGGTTAATACTTGAAATGAATAAGTGTCAGTAAGTGAAGTAAAGTGAATAAGTTGTAGTTACCACTTTAAGATTAAACCATAGGTCAGGTACATTTGAAGCAATTAAGAAACTGAGAATAACACTTGAAGCTATTATGAAAATTCATGTTTAAAAAATAACAAAGTCACCTTAACATTTGAATCTATAACATAGGCAATATTACCACTTGAACAGCCTAGAAAATCATGTTAACACTTAAAGTAAAAGCAATGAATCGGTTAACACTTTAAGCATATTTCAAAAGTCACCTACACTAAATAAAGTTTACTATTTGAGGTAAACAGCATAAACTAGATGATCCTTGAAATAACTAAACCTTTGATTTCACAGAATTATAATATATCACTGCATCAAAATATGGAAGGAAATAGTGAATTTGCAAGCAGTTCTATGAGTTTTCGCTGCTGGTTGTCGAAACAGTTAACTAGGCGTTTTGTCGAAAGAACTAACGCAAAATATGCATGTGTACTGACAAAAATGTTCCGCTACAAATAAAAACATATTGTTAAAAATATGTAAAAATATATGGCATAAAAACTGCCTCTGAAACCTATTCATGCCTATTTTATTTACATTTTTACACATCATGTTATCAACTTCAACATTTTCCTTAAGGTTAATAGTCTGTTATGTGTATAAATGTTAGTGTTGAGAGAATTAACTAACTAATACTGGTAAAAAATGTTTGTTAGTGTTATTATTATTCCAGAATGTTTGATGCAACTGTTGACATACAAGCTTCTTTCATATAATTTACCGTGTGTGTCGAGCTATTTTTAGTCAAACTTATTTCAGAAAAATTTGTATGTATTAATACACAAAACAAAAACTCACATGAAAATAAACAAACTTTGATTGACATAAGCGACTGTTGCCTAAATGTTTTTTCAACATATCATAAGGTTGCGATTACCTGGTGAACTTTTAATACAGGGCTATTAAAATACTGTTACGTGAGCCGTAATTAGTTGCCAATATTTTAACCATAAATTTATATAAAATTTTCAAGCTTACGATCTTATATAATCCAACAAATGTAACGATGCGTAAAGTTCTAAAAAAGTATTTCGCATTTCGATCATAATAATAAAATGAAAATCAGTTCGTATAGCAAGATCAGCAGAATATTCCCTTGCTCATAAACTCTGCGTAGAGTCAGAGGTTGTCGTCCAAAATGGACTCTTTTCTATCTAACAGTCTGTTTAAAGCTAATTCTCATGCGTATGTTCTCTCGGCTACGTCAAAACTTATCTGACCACTCAGCGTTTCTAGGCTGTTGAGAGACTAGATTAATGAGGTCAGCGTGTTTTATGTTCTTATACACAATGGGTGAAAGCTATGTCTAACTCCTGACGGAAACCTTAATCTAGTGCCTTGTTGAAAACGATAACTGTTTGAGATCAGGGTTTAAAGCTTTAAATAACTCAGATAACGTGCTCATAGTTCAACTTCACTGTTTCCACAACACATGCAAAAATATCCCAAACGTTTTCAAGCATAAAGAACAAAATCAAAAATTCGTTCTGTGTTCTGTGAGCTTCTCCTATCATCACCCTATTAAATAAATACATTAAGCAGTTTTGTTATGTGTTACTAAAAATTAAGCTACTCTGTTTGAATAGTTCTTATTGTTGTAGGTATTAAAAGTTCTTATTACTCTTGTGTTAAAGAATTCATTTCTTAGCTTTAATAGCTATTCTAATAATAGTAGCACTAAAGAAGTATTTTACTGTCTTTAAATAGTTTCTAATACTTTACTATTAAAACAAGGTATTACTGTGTTGACCGGAAAAGTTTTTAGTATGAAAGAAACACAACACTGGGTTTAAAAGTTCTTATTATTTCGCTGTTAAAGAAACACTTTTCTGTGTTGTCATATTAACGGAAACTTTTCTTTTTGGTGTTTTTTTTCACTTAGTTATAAAAGTAAGTCGCTATGTTTAAACTGTTTCTGATATTGTAATATTAAAGAAAAACATTACAATGCTGATTTACTTTTTTTAGCGTGATGGAAATTTTTTATTATTACCTTAGAATAGATTTGACTATTTTAATGTTAAAAAATATATTTTTCGGTTTCAAATTCCTAGTATTTTAATACTGTTGGAGTGCTTAAACTGTTCTTATATTTTAATATTAAAGATATGCGTTGTTGTATTTAAACTTTCTTTAGTATTTTAGTATTAAAAATATATGTTGTAATATTTTACACTTTTTTTAGTATTGTAGTATTAAAGAAATATATTGTTGTATTGAAACTGTTTTTGGTATTGTTGTGTTAAAGAAATATTTGGTGTATTGGAATTGTTTCTGGTATTTTAGTGTTAAAGAAATATGTTGTTGTATTTAAACGGTTTCTGGTATTGTAATATTAAAGAAATACATTACAGTGTTTAAACTTTTTTTCCAAGATTAAAAATGTGTGTTAGTACTTTAGAATAGTTCTTATTATTTTAGTGTTAAAGATAAATGTTGTTTTGTTTAAATGCTTTTAGTATTTTAGTCCAATAGAAATATTATATTTGTGTTTAAACTGTTCTTAGTACTTTAATATCATAGAAATATGCTGTTGTGTTTAACAGCTCTTATTATAACAAAAACAATATTTTATTGTATAGTAAAAGTTTTATTATTTACTATTAAAGAAATATGCTACTGTATTTAAACAGTTCTTTCTTTGTACTATTAACTACGTTATGTTTGAACACTTGATTTTTATAGCATTAAAATAATATTGTGTTATTATATTAATAATTTCGGTGTAGACTGAAAATAATATATCACTGTAATTTAAATAGTTTTTATTATTTTACTATTGAAAAACTACGGTATTGTGTGTTGAACGGTCCTCATTATTACAATATGAAAAGTAAATTTGACTGTGTTTGGACAAATCATAGTATTTTGGTATGAACGTAACTTAATAGTCTGTTTGAAAAGTTATTATTGTTGTGTTATTTGAGAAATACTTTATTGTATTTGATTTAGAGTCACATAAAAGACCCTGAAACAGTTGAAGACATTACTAAAAAGATTCCATTCGTACACGTCAATGGATCAATTTGAAGATAAGATATGCAGCGAAAGAGCCAATAGAAAAATGACAAAAACTTCTTTGCCTTCACTCCTGCTCGTTTCTCTCACCCAGTGCTTTTAGTTTATCATCATTGAATTTTTTTTCTAAGCATCATAAGACTTGGGAATATTTTGAAGCTGATCATAAAGAATTTTAGATAATACTGTATATTGCATTACGTCTATTTTAAAGTACTGGTTTCCGAAGTACTGTATATTGCATTACGTCTATTTTAAAGTACTGGTTTCCGAAGTACTGTATATTGCATTACGTCTATTTTAAAGAACTGGTTTCCGAAGAGATGTTGAACATTTCGAGGTTGTTCGTAATTAAAATATCTTAATTAAACAAGATTGTATCTTGTATTACGTCTACTATGAAGTAGTAGTTTCCAAAGGGTATAACTATACGAACCTACCTTTGGATAGCGTATGTAACTCAAGGGACGTAAAAACACCCGTTGTTCTAACTGTGTTCCTACACATATCTGAAAAATGATAAGTCCAAGTTCTTATTCGAACTCAATGAGGAAATAACTACCTTAACAAAATTAATGCAGGTTATATATGAAATTATAGCAAATTTGGTGTTTTTAACCAGAATGGTTAATTTGTGAAGGAAAACAACTAGAGAGCATGTCAAAGATGTTACAATGTGACATTATGAAACATACGATGCAGACTCTGCTTTTGTTACAGGGTTCAGTGGCGATATTTTATTGCCTTCCATTAGTTTTAACACAAAGCATCTTTGGTGAATAGTACTGTGCATCATTGATATGATGAGTCATTCAAATAAAACCAGTTTTGAATTTCCTACTGATGAGATTCAACGTTAACCATTATTTGTTTAACAGTATCTATAAAAACTGTTTAAAATGTGGTAATATATGCTAAACATACTGTAAAGGACATCATGTATGAGTTTCTAAGAAACTGATTATTTCTTTATATTTTTGTCAACTGAAATAAAACATCACAGAGACGAGGTTAACGTGGCTCTTAAATACCCGAAGAACAAAAATATTTGGCTAAACTCTTGAGGTAAAATGTACTGCTTCATAGATTCAATACAACTAAGTGTACTTACTTAATTAAAATTTAAGTCCACAAAAATTGATTATCGTACTTCAGGACTAATCGTGATGTACAAATTGATTAAAATCGATAAGATGATACAATTAATTTGATTTATGAACAATTATGTTGTTAAACTAAAATAAATTTTAAAAAAAAGTAGTTAAAGAGGAAAATGTAATAATAGTTTTTAAATTCTTAAAGGTCAATGAATTATGTTTAATAACTCAGAAGTTATTTCATTAGGTTTCCAACTTAAGGAGTTGTGGACTTTTTACTTCCATAATCGGTTAAGCTAGTTCGCTAGATGTCGGAAAGAAATATGTTAGATTGTAGCTCACATGCGTTGAGGACTAGGGTCACAATCGGTTCACAGTTGTCAACACAAGAATACGACGGGAAATGCAACGTTTAAGCTCATCCTAAAAAATCTGTACAGGGTTGAGATCTGGTAAGTTTGCTGATTAAGGAAACTGAGGTGAATAGCTCAGGCGAAATACTAAATATATAAATATTTTTTCATTACAGCGATATTAACTATTCCTTTGTCATTTTCAGATTTTATCCTGTTATAGTTGTTAAAGTTTGTTATTCGTCGTACTTTGTGAACCAGCTTCAAACAGTAACAGCACAATGAATTGATGCACTGCCGTCTTTAAAGTAGCTTTGTCCATGAGAATAGTAATGCAGCATTATGGAATGTGAGATGTGTTTAAGTGAAAACAGTTTTCAAGCACTCTAGATGTTATTTGACTTTCTAATGAAACCAACATAACAAATGCCTCCCATTAAAAGTTTTTTTTTCTAACCTTTAAACCACTGCAGCAACTTATGAAATCGGAACAACACCTAAAGATTCAAGTATCACGTGTGATTTTATTCATATTTTTATCCTACTTGCTGTTCACAATATAGCAGAAGAGATTCATTCTGTTAATAACCAGTGGCTGAAAACCACAGTTCTTTATAAAGGCAAATATATCTTTTTCGATCGTGAATGCTGACAGAATATGATAACTGATGTTTTTGAATAGCCGACTAAAGAAACGGCCACTAATAACGAAAAGCTGGCTAGATGGGATCCAACTATCATGCCTTTTTCTTTAAGTCGGTGAGATTCTTTCTCTTAGTTCAATTAAATATAACATAAAGTTCCAGATAAAAGTTGTAATTTATCAACCAATGTTGTGGCTACAAGGGTTATTCAGGAACTATTTTCTACATACAAAAATCATAAGAAAAGTAGAACGTGCTACAGTTACATGACGTGGCATAAGGATATCTCAAAACACTACTGCTGAAAAACTGAGATAATTCAACAATTATCACATAAGATGTAAATTAAGTTAATGGAATTGGTACACGTAAAACATATCCATATCTACCTATCCTTTGTCCCTCTATTGAAACAAATATCATTATATATAAACCAAAACATTAGTATAGTCCTTTTACGAGTTTCGTAACTTATCTTCAGAATTTATTGGTGAATAGAATTAAAAACTTATATGAAACATATACTATGTTTACTTTAAAACTCTAAAAACCAAATAAAAATATATATAAGATATACATTAAAATAAATATTCAACTATTTCAAACTGTACTAAAATTGTATACGTGTTGATTAGATTGGTTGGTTTTTGTTGTTGTTTTTATTTTCCTGCAAAGCCTCACTCATAATTGGTTATCTGCGCATAGCTAATCTAATTTTGAATTGATAAGCTAGACTGCTAGAGGGACGGCAACTAGTCAACATCATCCATCGCCAACTTTTGAAATACGCTTATGTGACCGAATAATGGGACTTGAATTTCATTCGTATAGGTTACCGGCTGTTCTAAAATGCGAAGCGTATATTGGGGAAATGGGATGCGAGCCACAAACTCTCGGATTCCCAGTCTGGGCATGCTAGCTACTGTGCCAAGCCCGCTCCCATGTTGTAAGGAAAGTTATATTCGGAGAAAGATAATTACATAATTACTTATGTAACTTCTGAAATACCAACTTTTTTTTTAAAACATCCTCAGTTATAAAAACAGCAGATTCCGTTCCATTTAGGAAAGTTTTTAAACAATTAAATAAAATATTTCTCACAAGTTAGCTTATTTTGTTTTTAAACACAAAACTAAAGAAAAGGCAAAATTCGTAAAAAAAAAATATATTATTGCAATTGTAATAATAAATACGTGATTCAAATTAAATTGTTTACACTTTATCTTATATTGTAAGTAATGAAAACATATGCTTGGAAAAATGAACAAAATGTTCGTTTTAGAATGAATTTAAATAAACATCGTATGAAGAACCCACATATCGGTCCGTTACCAAATTTCTGGTAACGGACTAAAATGTAGATTCCACACATGTTTTTTATAGAAACTGATTCTTAAGCATCAATTTCTAGTTTCCCACAGATATGTTTTCACTACTTACAATAAAAAATAAAGTGTAAACAACTCAAGTACTCAGATATTCCATAGGAAAGGTTACAAAATATACTTTTGTGCAAGCCAGAAAGGAGCATTTTTCTAACTATTTGATAAAGAAATGCCAACATTTACAAGAATCCTTTTTCGAATATTTTTATTTTGCTTTTTTTGTTGTAAACCCAATTCCGTTCCACGCGTGCTCATTGCAGGTGTAGGTTTTATTATTTGTAAATCATTTTAATGTGTATTTCATATCTATGTTTATTTAGATTTTATAGTTTTAGCAACTTGTTATGTAAACCTTATATTAGTCTTTAGTTTTACTCAACAATTAATTCTAAAGAGTAGCCACAGAAGCTACTAAACAGGTAAATGTACTTATGAGTGACTATGTACATTTCATATTATTATCTAACAAGTTATTTGAAATGGATACAACTTGTTATCATGTATAATAACATTTTAAACGAATATTTCTACAAGTTTTGTCAAAGAGATCACACTTGCTACAGAAAAAAAAATGAGTTCAAAAACTAGGGAGGCCACTACAAACACTCGGGAAACTTTCATCAAAATTTCATGAGATTTTAACGAATTTTCGATAAAAGTTTAATTAATCACTTGAATTGATACTCAAAAGTTGAGAAAATATTTGACATTAAATAGTGAATATATTAAAACCCAACCAAAGGTGCTACAGTTGTAGATAATACACAAGAAATGCAGAATAACGGGATTAATTTCATGGGAGACAAAATGCATACCTCTGATAAATTATGGAGTACACTTTATGAGATAGTAATCAAATCTTAATAAGTAATCTATATAAACGAAGACTGGTTTACTAGTGAGAATCAAGAACTGAAAAATTGAACAGCTTAGTTGAAGGTCTAAAGGAGGAGCTTTCCATTATAGCTCAAAAAATTCTACATAAAAAAAAACAACTTTCTGTCTTAAATTAAACAAATTATTCGAAAACGTTTGGAAATAGAAACCGAATTGAAACTGACCGGCTAAGGTCAAAAACAGAAAACAGAATGTTAGATATATCAAAATAAACTACTTGGCTGCTAATTGCTTCAAACAACTGATTAAAAATGACGGCATTTGTGTCTCTTGTGTTCAATATTGGAAAGATCTTTGTGCAAAAGAAAAACAGTGTAGTAGAGATATCTGGAAAAAGAAAGAACAAAATAAAAAAAATGGTTCCATGAATAACTGGAGTTATATTAGAAAATTCCAGAAAACTTTAGAATTTAGAAAAGAGTCAAACTTTAGACCACCACAAGGAATACAACATATATTTTAACCTACTCCAAGAAAGGAGAATAGCAAGGTTTAGGGGAAGGTTTTTAAGAAAACCCATAATGAGCTATCTGCTGTGTCCATCGTAGGGAAGCAAACCCTGGATTTTAGCATTTTAAGTCGAAAGACTTACCGCTGTCACACCGAGGGTCCTTTGGTGGGAGACATTTTCAGTTTAATAATTGGATCCCACAAAACCAAATAAAAAAAAATGGAATACTGGAGACATATGTATAAAACAAATGAAGTTCACTATATACCAAGTAAATTATATAAATGTATTACATTTAAATTCAAAACCATAACTATAGGATGATATTAAAACTTAAAAAAGTTCCAACTTGTACTTCAGTTAATAAACTGATAAAGTAGAAATTGAAGAAGATTTGAAACAATTCATTAGAAAATTAAGATAAATGTTTTTAATGAAGTTATCAACAATTATATATTTGTAATATGTTTGTTTGTCTGTAATTAAGCACAAAGCTACACGATGGGCTATCTGTGCTCAGCCCACCACGGGTATCTAAACCTGGATTCTAGCGTCGTAAGTCCGCAGACATTTCGTTGTGCCACTGGGGGACTTTATAATATGTAAAAATGGGAGTTTGAATTACTAAATACTATAACTTTAGAACTGTGTGTGTCAATTATAGTAACAATTAGATTTTCTT